TGAGAAACATGCAATAATCCTGAAGACTTATGGTAAATGGTAACTATGTTGCATTTTCCCCACGTTAATGTGGGCATTTGGACTGATTTGTGCCTATGTTAATGCCCCTTGATTCTACAACACTTGCTTCAAATCTGTTCGAAGATGGATAATGTGACATAACTTGATTTTGAACTTTGAAATCCATGTACCTTTTCTCTGAGCTATTTATAGGGCAAATTGGAGCTGAATGGTGTTTATTAAATGGCTGTGAATTGGATATGATGCCATTGATTTAGCTACCTCCTGTAATTATTTTCATTCCTTTGCTTAACTGGATTCCATCATTTACATTACCAAAAAGCGGTGATGTAGGCACTACTTGGTAATACCTAAGGAGCACATTCCCACAGTGAGAGACCTCCAGAGAAGAGATGAAGACTACTCGCTGGGTTCGAACACTAAACTGTTTAAGCATTGTTCTTGTTTATTTCTACATTGAGTGTAAATAAGTTTTAAGGATATCATTTTATTATTTGGCCAGTAAGTCACATGTTAAGCGTGGGACACACACTGCTGCAGAAAGATGCACCTCAGTCCACGTATAGGTGAGGCTTCTGTATTCAAGAATGTGATAGCTTAATGTAAATTCAAACCAATCATTTATGTGACGAAATTCGTCTCAAACGGTCAGACCTAATACATTGAAGATTAAATCAATACCCAGCTAGTACTGCAAGTTATATCACAATGCTCATCGGGGTGCTTCTCAAACTATCTGCGGCAAAATGAGCTTACTTTATGATTTTTGAAACAAAATGTTGTCATTTATGTATTTTCCCTCTTTTCTCTTCTCCATATCATAGTAACTTTTGCTTCGTTATCCTGACTGATCTTTGATTTCACAGATTTGGTTTCCACCAGCCACCTTTGAACAGTGTTGATCATCTCCATCTGCATTGTTTTGCATTGCCTTTCATACCCAGGTACATATTTATTTCATTGTATTTGTTCTTTCCTGGAATATGATGCTTCAAGTGAGTGAATATTTTGCATGTTACTGCTCTGATTTTCCCTTGCTTTATAAATAAAAACAAAGCCTTTTTCTGGATATTTCCCCTAACTTGCATGCCAAAACAGATGGAAAGCCATTAAGTACAAGTCTTTGGGACCTCTTGGTGGTTTTATTGAAGCAGAGGCACTGCTGGAGAAATTAAAGCCTCTCTCTTCTCTTCCTTCAAAGGTGTAATTATATTTACTTGTTTTACCGCTTGGCTGGCTGTACTTCTCATCGCATCAAATTCTGGTCTACCTGAACTAGATCACTTTTATCTTCTTTTCTTGGCAATAATTTTGTGAAATTCCAAATAAAAGTTGTTGATTGGTGTATGAAAGAACTCATCAATTAAGATATGTTATTCATCATGCTGACGCAGATTGCTATCATTAGTATCATTCTCATGATTGCTGTACTAATGCTAGATGCTGCGGATATGAAGACTTCTGAAATCATCCTAAGAGAAATCCTGCCATAAAATATAGTCTGGATTTAGCAGAGGGCACGGATTAGTAAAATTGTTGGCAATCACTTTTATCCTCTTTTCTTGGCGATAATTTTGTAATTGTGTTTACTTGTTTTACCGCTAGTACATTTTTACATAGATTACATGAGTTCTGTAATCTATGTAAAATTTGTTGTATGCCTGAAGAATTCTGAAATCATCCAAAGAGAACTCCTGCCATAAAATTAGCCGGGACTTAGCAGAGGCACAGATTAGCAATTCGAAAGATGATTTTTGTAATCTATGAAAAATTTGTTGTATGCCTTGATGCTTTGACGTCCAAATGTAGGCAACGGACTGCATGTGTTTATCACCATCAACTTTCAGCTCAGTTGGGTGGGGCAGCCGGTCTTGTGATAGTATGATATCCTCAGAACAGGTAATAGCTGTCTTAAATATGTTTTTTCATTGCTGAATCTTTTATGTCTAAATCCTGTGGGGGCAGAGATATTTTACTCCATCACCAAATGAATTTTCAGACATTTTATATAGTCATAGGGGAACAATAAGCTACAATAACCTTAGCGGTTTTGAGTTTTACATCAGTGCCTATACTGTACTTTCAGATTCTGTCTCTGGGTTGATTTTAGAAATCTATGTTGTGGATTGGATTTTTGTGATACTGAAACCAAAAAGGTGATGATATCTCAGCCCCGGTGAGAGTACCATGATATGGTCTATTCACATGCATCTTGTGCAGTTAGATAGAGTACAGGGTGCATAGTCGTGAGCATCAGCTTATTTTCTAGATGTTGTGGTGTGGCATTAGATTTTTTTTTTTTTTTTTGGTATGAATGGTTAATTATATATATATGCTAAAGTTGAATACAGAGCCAGCCTATGTTGTACACGGATACCATGTTACAAAATGGTTATATTGTCAAAATAGTTAAGTTGTGCCTCGCCTACTATTAATGCCTCGTCGTATACTTTCCGATAGCCGAAACCAATCCTGGAGAGGGGAGACCGTCTGCATCGTGTTACTATTAGTGCCTCTCATCAGGAGAAGGATATTCCGCATGGTCCTGTCGATGAGCGGGATAAGTGTCGTCTGAGTTCTCATCTTTCTCCTGAATACTCTTGCATTCCGTTCTTTCCATATGTGGTAGGCAGTGACTTGGACGACTAACAGGGATAAAATGAGTCTGTTGCTACTTGTATCATTGCACGGGTTGTGAATCCAAGATGGGCACCGATCCAACAGTGATGGAGGCGAAGGCCAGACTAGACTAGCAAGTTGTTGCCAGATCAAACTGCTGAAAACACACTCAAAAAAGAGATGGGAGTGCGTTTCAGGCTCAACAGAACACAAGACACATGTTGGGTCGACTTGCATGCCCCATCGAGTTAGTCGGTCCTTAGTCGGTAATCGCTGCAACAGGATTTCCCAAATCAAGAAAGAAAATCTGGGGATAGCGTGTTTGAACCAAACCGTTGTATGCCAGGAAACTGCCGGTTCTTTTAATCGGATCTTGTTCCATGTGCCTTGGCTAGAGAAGCAAGGCTTATAAGTTCCTCCCCCTTGCTTCCACAGAGGAATATCTGGTCCCTTAGAGTCTGTTGGGGTTTGTGCATCAGTGAGTATGATAAGGACTTGTTGTACATTGTCCGATCGAGCGCTTTGAATCTGCCATCCGCCATCCCGGAATGCCCCTTTCACCGTGCAATCTAGAGGGATACGTAGCTGTCGAGGACCATCATATTCAGCAACGTCAATGAGTGGTTTGTTTCCTATCCAACAATCCTGCCAAAAAAGAGCAGTCATCCCGTTTCCAATGTCATATTTCAGGAACTGTTTGAGCAGCGGTCGTAAGGAGAGCAACTTCCGCAGGTTCCAAGACAATGACGGAGACAAGGTTGCCCCCCAAAAGCCTTTTTTCTTCCATGCATTCTGAGACAACCATTGGGGCCATAATGAGGAACCTTTGGTGAAGATGGTCCAAAAGAGTTTCAGCCTGTGGCAAACGTTCATGTCCTGTAAACGCCTGATGCCGAGTCCTCCATGGAAGAAAAAAGGCTTTTGGGGGGCAACCTTGTCTCCGTCATTGTCTTGGAACCTGCGGAAGTTGCTCTCCTTAAGACCGCTGCTCAAACAGTTCCTGAAATATGACATTGGAAACGGGATGACTGCTCTTTTTTGGCAGGATTGTTGGATAGGAAACAAACCACTCATTGACGTTGCTGGAACAGAACGAATTAGTAAAATACGCCCTGCACGTGTGATAAACCATACCAACGTATATACGTCAGGAGGAGTAAGAGGGCAGAAGAGGAGGAGATGCAGGGGATTACTGAGGATGAGAAGCAACAGCCCGAAGGGGAGGAGGAAGGTACGGAAGGGGACAAAGGAGCAGAGGTGGCAGAAGCATAATTACCTGGTACTAACCGTTAGTGCTTTATACATGCAAGGGTTGGTATGTTTTGTACAGACTACTAGTAGTATTTGCCAGGTCAGCATTGTTGTCGCTGCACCTTGGCCTTTAAGTATCGTTATTTTGCTTTTGGGAAGGGTATGCTTTTGATCTGGAATCTTTTGTGAGTGGGAAAAGAGGGAGAGTAACCTCTTGAATCAGTTGTAATTCTCGTTTGGTGAAATACAACTGGGTATTTACGTTATACAAATCTACCAACGTGATAGGAAAAGGTTTGTCCAAGAGGTTAGTTTCTTCCTGATTTTCGTTAAGAGGCCTTGATAGTCACTCTTCCCTGGTTTGGCTGCGCTTAGAGGGACTCCAAGGTAACGAACCGGAAAAGAACCCAGTCTATAACCGAGAAGGCCTGCTAGGTTCCTGGCGTCTTGGTCACTTGCCCCAGCAATGTATATTTCTGTTTTCTCTGCGTTTATATGCAGCCCCGATACTGATCCAAATTTCTCCATGATCCCATGAACTCGAAGTAGAGATGAAGTTTCAGCCTTGGTGAAGATGAGAACGTCGTCCGCAAAAGCTAAATGAGTGAGCATGGGATATTTGCATATGTGATGTAAAGCGATTTCATTTTCGCAGCCTGCTTTATCCAACATCCTTGAGAGGACCTCAATCACCAAAATGAATAGATATGGAGAAAGGGGGTCCCCTTGTCTAAGGCCACAGACTCTAAGGGACCAGATATTCCTCTGTGGAAGCAAGGGGGAGGAACTTATAAGCCTTGCTTCTCTAGCCAAGGCACATGGAACAAGATCCGATTAAAAGAACCGGCAGTTTCCTGGCATACAACGGTTTGGTTCAAACACGCTATCCCCAGATTTTCTTTCTTGATTTGGGAAATCCTGTTGCAGCGATTACCGACTAAGGACCGACTAACTCGATGGGGCATGCAAGTCGACCCAACATGTGTCTTGTGTTCTGTTGAGCCTGAAACGCACTCCCATCTCTTTTTTGAGTGTGTTTTCAGCAGTTTGATCTGGCAACAACTTGCTAGTCTAGTCTGGCCTTCGCCTCCATCACTGTTGGATCGGTGCCCATCTTGGATTCACAACCCGTGCAATGATACAAGTAGCAACAGACTCATTTTATCCCTGTTAGTCGTCCAAGTCACTGCCTACCACATATGGAAAGAACGGAATGCAAGAGTATTCAGGAGAAAGATGAGAACTCAGACGACACTTATCCCGCTCATCGACAGGACCATGCGGAATATCCTTCTCCTGATGAGAGGCACTAATAGTAACACGATGCAGACGGTCTCCCCTCTCCAGGATTGGTTTCGGCTATCGGAAAGTATACGACGAGGCATTAATAGTAGGCGAGGCACAACTTAACTATTTTGACAATATAACCATTTTGTAATATGGTATCCGTGTACAGCATAGGCTGGCTCTGTATTCAACTTTAGCATATATATAATATTAACCATTCATACCAAAAAAAAAAAAAAAAATCTAATGCCACACCACAACATCTAGAAAATAAGCTGATGCTCACGACTATGCACCCTGTACTCTATCTAACTGCACAAGATGCATGTGAATAGACCATATCATGGTACTCTCACCGGGGCTGAGATATCATCACCTTTTTGGTTTCAGTATCACAAAAATCCAATCCACAACATAGATTTCTAAAATCAACCCAGAGACAGAATCTGAAAGTACAGTATAGGCACTGATGTAAAACTCAAAACCGCTAAGGTTATTGTAGCTTATTGTTCCCCTATGACTATATAAAATGTCTGAAAATTCATTTGGTGATGGAGTAAAATATCTCTGCCCCCACAGGATTTAGACATAAAAGATTCAGCAATGAAAAAACATATTTAAGACAGCTATTACCTGTTCTGAGGATATCATACTATCACAAGACCGGCTGCCCCACCCAACTGAGCTGAAAGTTGATGGTGATAAACACATGCAGTCCGTTGCCTACATTTGGACGTCAAAGCATCAAGGCATACAACAAATTTTTCATAGATTACAAAAATCATCTTTCGAATTGCTAATCTGTGCCTCTGCTAAGTCCCGGCTAATTTTATGGCAGGAGTTCTCTTTGGATGATTTCAGAATTCTTCAGGCATACAACAAATTTTACATAGATTACAGAACTCATGTAATCTATGTAAAAATGTACTAGCGGTAAAACAAGTAAACACAATTACAAAATTATCGCCAAGAAAAGAGGATAAAAGTGATTGCCAACAATTTTACTAATCCGTGCCCTCTGCTAAATCCAGACTATATTTTATGGCAGGATTTCTCTTAGGATGATTTCAGAAGTCTTCATATCCGCAGCATCTAGCATTAGTACAGCAATCATGAGAATGATACTAATGATAGCAATCTGCGTCAGCATGATGAATAACATATCTTAATTGATGAGTTCTTTCATACACCAATCAACAACTTTTATTTGGAATTTCACAAAATTATTGCCAAGAAAAGAAGATAAAAGTGATCTAGTTCAGGTAGACCAGAATTTGATGCGATGAGAAGTACAGCCAGCCAAGCGGTAAAACAAGTAAATATAATTACACCTTTGAAGGAAGAGAAGAGAGAGGCTTTAATTTCTCCAGCAGTGCCTCTGCTTCAATAAAACCACCAAGAGGTCCCAAAGACTTGTACTTAATGGCTTTCCATCTGTTTTGGCATGCAAGTTAGGGGAAATATCCAGAAAAAGGCTTTGTTTTTATTTATAAAGCAAGGGAAAATCAGAGCAGTAACATGCAAAATATTCACTCACTTGAAGCATCATATTCCAGGAAAGAACAAATACAATGAAATAAATATGTACCTGGGTATGAAAGGCAATGCAAAACAATGCAGATGGAGATGATCAACACTGTTCAAAGGTGGCTGGTGGAAACCAAATCTGTGAAATCAAAGATCAGTCAGGATAACGAAGCAAAAGTTACTATGATATGGAGAAGAGAAAAGAGGGAAAATACATAAATGACAACATTTTGTTTCAAAAATCATAAAGTAAGCTCATTTTGCCGCAGATAGTTTGAGAAGCACCCCGATGAGCATTGTGATATAACTTGCAGTACTAGCTGGGTATTGATTTAATCTTCAATGTATTAGGTCTGACCGTTTGAGACGAATTTCGTCACATAAATGATTGGTTTGAATTTACATTAAGCTATCACATTCTTGAATACAGAAGCCTCACCTATACGTGGACTGAGGTGCATCTTTCTGCAGCAGTGTGTGTCCCACGCTTAACATGTGACTTACTGGCCAAATAATAAAATGATATCCTTAAAACTTATTTACACTCAATGTAGAAATAAACAAGAACAATGCTTAAACAGTTTAGTGTTCGAACCCAGCGAGTAGTCTTCATCTCTTCTCTGGAGGTCTCTCACTGTGGGAATGTGCTCCTTAGGTATTACCAAGTAGTGCCTACATCACCGCTTTTTGGTAATGTAAATGATGGAATCCAGTTAAGCAAAGGAATGAAAATAATTACAGGAGGTAGCTAAATCAATGGCATCATATCCAATTACTGAGCTCCATAGACTAACCTGACCATATATGACAGAACGAATTAGTAAAATACGCCCTGCTCGTGATAGGAAAAGGTTTGTCCAAGAGGTTAGTTTCTTCCTGATTTTCGTTAAGAGGCCTTGATAGTCACTCTTCCCTGGTTTGGCTGCGCTTAGAGGGACTCCAAGGTAACGAACCGGAAAAGAACCCAGTCTATAACCGAGAAGGCCTGCTAGGTTCCTGGCGTCTTGGTCACTTGCCCCAGCAATGTATATTTCTGTTTTCTCTGCGTTTATATGCAGCCCCGATACTGATCCAAATTTCTCCATGATCCCATGAACTCGAAGTAGAGATGAAGTTTCAGCCTTGGTGAAGATGAGAACGTCGTCCGCAAAAGCTAAATGAGTGAGCATGGGATATTTGCATATGTGATGTAAAGCGATTTCATTTTCGCAGCCTGCTTTATCCAACATCCTTGAGAGGACCTCAATCACCAAAATCCTGTTGGACCAACGTGAAATCAGCTTGGAATATCAGAAGTGGCTGATCAAGTTATTGGGTTTTGATTTTGAGATCTTGTACAAGCCTGGTAACAAAAACAAAGCGGCTGATGGGTTGTCCCGCATTCCACATGCCCCAAGTCTGTCCTCCGCCCAAGTTCTGTTTGCATTAACTGTTCCGGCTGCCATCCAGCTTGAGGAGCTTCGGCGAGAAGTAGAGGCCGACCCTGTATTGGCAGAGATCATTGCAAAACTGCGTTCTCAGCATGAGGCCCCAAACGGATATCATCTAAGAGACGGTACACTTCTTTACAAAGATCGTTTCGTTGTCCCTGCTAAGTCTGCTTTTGTTCAACTTATCCTCAGTGAGTTTCATGATGGTGTGATGGGGGGACATTCGGGGGTGTTGAAAACCCTCAAACGAATTCAAGCGGTGTTCTATTGGGTCGGTATGAAGGCTGTGATTCAGCAGTATGTCACACGTTGCATGACGTGCCAGCGCCAAAAATATTCAACTCTCGCTCCCGCCGGCCTACTGCAGCCCTTGCCAATTCCCGATCGCATATGGGAGGATATTTCCCTAGACTTCATCGAGGGACTACCGAAATCTTTGGGTTTTGACACCATCTTAGTCGTGGTCGACAGGCTGACTAAGTACAGTCATTTCATTGGACTTAAGCACCCTTTCACCGCGGTGCAGGTTGCGGAGGCTTTTCTCCGGGAAGTGGTTCGGTTGCACGGGTATCCACGTTCGATCGTTTCGGACCGGGACCGTATTTTCCTCAGCCATTTCTGGGCTGAATTATTTCGTCTTGGGGGTACAAAACTCAAGTACAGCACCGCATTCCACCCTCAAACGGATGGACAAACAGAGGTTGTCAACCGTTGTTTGGAAACATACTTACGTTGCTATGCGGGTAGCCACCCTCGGCTGTGGGCGAAATTTCTTCCTTGGGCAGAACTTTGGTACAATACATCCTTCCATACAGCTCTGCAAACAACCCCATTCCAGGCTGTATATGGACGGGATCCTCCCAGTCTGATCAGATTTGAAGAAGGCTCTACGGTTAATTTTGAATTGGAACGAGAGTTGCGGGATAGGGATGCAATTCTGGCCGAACTCAGGCAGCAATTGGCTCGTGCCCAGCAGCGCATGAAGGCGTATGCTGATTCATCACGCCGAGATGTGGTCTTGCAACCGGGGGATTGGGTCTTTCTCAAGCTCCAGCCTTATCGCCAGCAGTCGGTCGCTAGACGTTCATTTCAGAAGTTAGCAGCTCGGTTTTATGGCCCTTATGAGGTACAGACTCGTATTGGACAAGTGGCATATCGGTTAATTCTTCCTCCAGACTCGAAAATCCATCCAGTTTTTCACGTGTCTCAACTCAAGAAGGCAGTGGGAAACAGTTTTCCGCCAGCACCTCTGCCAAAGCATATCTCAGCTGACTTGGGAATGGTTTTGGACCCTGATGAGCTTCTTGAGTTTCGCTATTCGAGGCAGGGATTTTTGGAGGTACTTGTAACGTGGCTGGGTCTTCCGACACATGAGGCGACATGGGAGCGTGCGGACATCTTGGCGGGCCAATTCCCTTCTTTTCAGCTTGAGGACAAGCTGCGGCTGAAAGCGGGGGGGATTGATAAACCATACCAACGTATATACGTCAGGAGGAGTAAGAGGGCAGAAGAGGAGGAGATGCAGGGGATTACTGAGGATGAGAAGCAACAGCCCGAAGGGGAGGAGGAAGGTACGGAAGGGGACAAAGGAGCAGAGGTGGCAGAAGCATAATTACCTGGTACTAACCGTTAGTGCTTTATACATGCAAGGGTTGGTATGTTTTGTACAGACTACTAGTAGTATTTGCCAGGTCAGCATTGTTGTCGCTGCACCTTGGCCTTTAAGTATCGTTATTTTGCTTTTGGGAAGGGTATGCTTTTGATCTGGAATCTTTTGTGAGTGGGAAAAGAGGGAGAGTAACCTCTTGAATCAGTTGTAATTCTCGTTTGGTGAAATACAACTGGGTATTTACGTTATACAAATCTACCAACGTGATAGGAAAAGGTTTGTCCAAGAGGTTAGTTTCTTCCTGATTTTCGTTAAGAGGCCTTGATAGTCACTCTTCCCTGGTTTGGCTGCGCTTAGAGGGACTCCAAGGTAACGAACCGGAAAAGAACCCAGTCTATAACCGAGAAGGCCTGCTAGGTTCCTGGCGTCTTGGTCACTTGCCCCAGCAATGTATATTTCTGTTTTCTCTGCGTTTATATGCAGCCCCGATACTGATCCAAATTTCTCCATGATCCCATGAACTCGAAGTAGAGATGAAGTTTCAGCCTTGGTGAAGATGAGAACGTCGTCCGCAAAAGCTAAATGAGTGAGCATGGGATATTTGCATATGTGATGTAAAGCGATTTCATTTTCGCAGCCTGCTTTATCCAACATCCTTGAGAGGACCTCAATCACCAAAATGAATAGATATGGAGAAAGGGGGTCCCCTTGTCTAAGGCCTCTTGTGCTTCTGAAATAACCGGCAAGCTCGCCATTGACCGATATAGAGAACCGAGGGGTTGTGATACAAGCCTCTATCCATCGAGTGAAGACAGGTGGCATTCCTAGGTCTGTAGATATGTCAATGATTAGTGCCCAGCTAACGGTGTCAAAAGCCTTCTTAAAATCAATCTTGATTGCTGCCCCTTTTTGTGCAGACTTGCGGTTGTAACCTTTAATAACTTCAGTTGCTAGCATAATATTTTCTAGCATTAGTCTTCCCTTAGTGAAGGCTGTCTGATTGTGGGAGATCAGATGTGGCATCAATGGCTTTAGTCGCTTTGCTAGGATGGTGGATATGAACTTATAAACGACGTTGCAACAACTTATCGGTCTGAATTCGGTTAGTGATACTGCCCCCGTCTTTTTCGGAATTAGAACTATTTTGGTTGCATTTAGCTGGCCAAGAAGTTTGCCTGTACCGAAAAATTCTCTAACTGCTCCAATCAGGTGTTCTCCGACAGTGTCCCATGCTGAGACAAAAAATTCCTTTGTGAAGCCATCCGGTCCTGGCGTCTTATTGTTCGACAGAGAGTGGAGCGTTAGTCTGATCTCGTCTGGCTCAGGAATATGCAGAAGGGTGGCTGCTGTGGCCGAGTCTATTGTTTTCCCAAACAAGTCAGTGAGATTCCCAATCGGTAACCTTGGGGTGTTAACTGAAGGGGGTCCAATGAGGTTGCTAAAATAGGATACCGCGTAATCTTTGAGTCCCCTGCTAGACTCAATTCGCTCACCGTTTTGGTTAATCAGATAGTGGATATGATTTCCTGCATTCCTTGACTTCGTGGTGTTGAAGAAAAATTTAGTGTGTTTATCCCCTGATTGCAACCAACGGATTCGCGATTTCTGCCGGTAGAAAACTTCTTCTGCAGTTACCAGTTGCATCCATTTGGATCGTACCCTTTTTTCTTCCTCAATCAGATGGTCTGTAGGTGCTGCCAACATCTCAGATTGTACATCTTCAAGTTCCATTCGAACTGCGGTAACTCGTTTGCTTAGATCACTATAGTCTGATGCGTTGAGGCCTCGGAGAGGGCGTTTGAGCTGTCTCAGCGCTTGCCATAATCGAAATTGCTTGGTGCCGGGTTCCACTGTTGACATCCAATTTCTCTTGACTGTGTCTTGAAACTTAGGATGAAGTAGTAGGTGATGGAAGAATTTAAAATGACCTCTTCGACGCTGGAAATTTTGCGGGAACCGGATGACACAGGGGCTGTGATCGGATGGACCAGGTTGTCCGAAAATGCGGACACTCTTCCCTCTAATATTGACGGAGCCCAACCGCCTCAACCATTGACCACACCTACACCACCCACTGCATCTACCTCTAAACCACCCACCTTACTCACTCATCAACCTAGCCCACAACCAAAAAGTGGGGGAAAGAAGAAATCTAAGGGGAAAGGCCGTGGCCGAGAGGCCACGAGAAACCACTAACTTCAACATTCGGATACCATGTTTTTTGCCTGGAATATTAGAGGTCTAAATGGCCAAGCGAAAAGAAGTGCTACTCGCCGATGGATTTTGGACAATAAGTTACGTTTTGGAAGCCTCTAAATCGGACATGCCTTGGGTAAGATAACTATGTGATGGAAAGTCTGATCTGTCTGAAGGGAAAAAGAATTTGGTTAAAATCCCCAAGCACAATCCCAGGCGAGTTGGCAATGGGGCTGTATTGCGAGAGGCTAACTAGATGTTCCCATAGCGGCTTTCGATCAGCAACTGCATTCCTGGCATAGACAAAAGTGACAGCAAAACTTTCACGAGCAACAGGGCAAAAAAAAACTGCAAGTAATGGATTGATCAGTTGTAGAGTACACCGTTAGAAGCAGTGTTGGTTCCCACACTATCCAAACTCGGCCACTACTATCATGATCATGATTGCAGAAATATCTCCACCCTTGAGGAATGGCTGAGGAGATTCGGCTGGCATTCTCTGGTTGAATGTGACTTTCTAAGAGGCTTCCAAAACGTAACTTATTGTCCAAAATTCATCGGCGAGTAGCACTTCTTTTCGCTTGGCCATTTAGACCTCTAATATTCCAGGCAAAAAACATGGTATCCGAATGTTGAAGTTAGTGGTTTCTCGTGGCCTCTCGGCCACGGCCTTTCCCCTTAGATTTCTTCTTTCCCCCACTTTTTGGTTATTAGAGGGAAGAGTGTCCGCATTTTGTTGGAGCGGGGCAGGTGGGGAGTGATCTTGGGGTAAGCATTGGATTGGTGGAGATGGATCAGTGATCGGAGGTGTGGAGGTTTGGTTATCCCCTGGTTCATTTGTATCCTCAATCAGAGTTTGTGATTCCCGATTGCGTGGCCTCGGTTGTCGATCATGAATGGAGGTCGAGTTTGGGCAGAAGCGATTGTTGTGACCAAGCTCTGAGCACACGCTACACCTCGGTGGCAACCAATCATATGCAACAGAGATGCGGCACGACTCTTCATTTGGTAAATCAACAACGATCTCCTTCGGAGGAGGCTTCTGCAAGGGGACTTCTACAAATATTCGGGCTAATGACATATTGTCTTTCTCAGCCGTAGCTCGGTCTAAGTAGAGAGGATTTCCCACACTGGTAGCTAGTCTGCTCAGATATTCAGTGTTGTATAGGGTAAAAGGGATGTTCCTGAGGGTCACCCACGTCGGCATCGCCACTAAGACTGGTTTGGGTTGGCTGAGAGAAGGGCACCAGGTGGAAACCGCCATCGGACATGAGCCAATGCGCCAGATCCTTCTGGTAAGTACAAACGACTTGGTGGACTGATCCGGTACCTTGAATAAGTAGGTCCCATCCTCTAGTTTCTGAACCTTGATTCTGCCTCCATTACGCGGCCATAAGGCGTTAGCGATTCCGAAGATGCGCCCCATCGATGGGGCTAAACCAAAGAATTGGCCATGGATGAAATGATTCCATTCCGCCACAGAGTTGACGATGGCTTCCTCCGGGATTCGCACCAGGGGGGCTCCAGAGACATGACACTCGGGAGTTCCGGTGCGTTGGAGAGTATGAAGAGAAGAGAGTAATCTTGAGCTCCAATTTGTTGGCGGTGCTGGAGAAGTTTCTGGAGGGGTGACCTGCTTGCCCTGAGTAGAGGGCAGACTAGGATTGTTGGTTCCAGACAGCGGCGGAAAATCCTCACCGGAGATGAGAGAAGGGGTGGTAGGGAAAAAATATAGTTACAATTGATTCTAAAAAAGGTTGCAAAAAAATCATCTATCTTATTTTAGTGGTATATCAGTTATATATTAGTCGTAATAAGGTCGTAAAAAATAAAACGAAAAGGGTATTTCGGACTTTTCCATCCGAAAAGTGGGTTAAAATTGAAAAAAATTTTTTTTTTTTTTTTTTCGGTGGTGTACACTGAAATTGCTGCGACCCAAGTGGGTTGGTTATTTGAGTAATATTCCCGTGACGGACAGGAAGTGAAAAATTAGGGTTACGAACCCTAAGCGATGGCGATTCGACGAGAAGGGGTGAAGATGAAGGAGGTGGAGGGCCTAGGATGCTGGGCGATGGTGGGGCAGAGGCGGACCGAAGACGTGGAGCCATCTTCTCCGGCGGCCAGGCGGTTGTCCGACCGCAGGCGAGGGGTTGTGTACTGTGTAGGTTCTAGGTGAGGAAGATGGATAAAGGAAGGATAAAGGAAGAGGGCGGTGGGGTCAGCAGGGGAAAGGTGAAAGCCAGGGGAATCCGACCGGTGGCCGACGGCCAGAGAGAATAACCCTGGAGAAAGAGTCGCTTTTTTTCAGACTTATTAAATCACTACGCCCGAGTTATCTCTGCCATGGCAAGAACAGGCGTGCGATCTTGGCATTAGATTTTGATGTCAAAACGTCGTCAAACTAGGATTGATATAGAAATCCAACAGTATTCATGATTTAGTCTATGAATGGTGGTTTGTGGTATATCATTTTGGGTTAAGATTCTCTGAGAAAAAGGAAAAGGATGTGGGCTAACAAACAGCCAAGATTCCAAATGATGTAGTAGGATTTATCCTAAATGAAGACAACTATAATTTTTTTCTTCTAGTGATTTAAGCTTTTGCAGTAATCCCCTCAATGCCCTGCCAACTCTTTGTTTGGTTCTTCCTCTGTTCTTTAGTTAAGTCAGTACCCCACCCCCTTTAGTTCCATCTGGCACAATCGCAAGACTTGTTTTTATAAAAAAAAATTAATGGGTGGTTTGAAACAAAGTTGTAGGTGGCTACGTTCTGCTAAAGCAAAAGTTTTTAAGTTTTAACATTAAATATCTGTTTATTTTATTGTTTGGCAATGATTATACACGCCGATATCTGGCAATAATATGTCTAGCATATGTTTAGTACTCAATATATGATTACCTAATATCTGTTTTCTTTACCATCATCTACCTAATGTATTGTGTGGTTGGTGAATTATTAGGGCTTAGCATTCTTAGAAAACAAAAAGTACAGGAGGTTGATGTGTATTAGGATGCCATGCATATGGACGGGAACTCGGGAATTTGGATGACCCACTTGGATGGGAATGGTGGTTTTTGCATGAGTTTCACGTAGAAGGGGGAACAAATGATGTATCCAGAGAAGGATATGAGTGGTAATAAGTGGATGAAAAAGATGTGTATTTGATTAGGAAAGATTCATCACTTTCTTATGACACGCAGAGCTGGCTTAATACACAACAGCTCCGGAAAAGGAGGTTGGACGACGTAGACGCCACCACTTCTTCTACTGAGCATGCTTGGTGTCCATGGAAAATAATAATAATGTCCCTTTCAGGTATGGCTTTAATGGTTCTGGTGTTCCTGTACAGCTATTTTTGCATTTCTTTTCTCTCTTTTTTTTTATTCCTGGAAAATCTGAAAATAAAAATCTAAAGATACCCTTTCCTTTCTTCCCTAGAAGATGGCTATATGAAAAAAAAATACCCATATATTTGTGGATGATAAGAAACATTTTAGAAGTCACTAATCCATACTTTGCATTAATAGAGAGAATAGCGAATTATTGTATCTGTAAGAATTAGCTAGGCTGGTCTTTCTAGGTGTCCACAATAGTATAGTTGGATGTAAGTCCTGCTGGTTTGACTTAATTTTACGTTAATATATGCATGGGAATGGGAGAAAACTTATCCTAATGATTATTATTGGGTCGTATTAAAAAAAGACAAACAAATATCTTGGTACGGTTGGTGATGTTAGAGGTCCACGTTCTCGTCAGTAGGTCCCCATGTTCTACCTAATTGTCATCCATAATGCAAAGCCTCGAATGTTTAAATATTTTTAACGATCCAAAACTAGAGTTGCTTTCGGTTGGTCAAACTACGTGGGGTTGATTAATGATGTGTATTCACAGATGTAGTTAAGATAACAGGGTGGGGGGAAGCAAACGCTAGGGTATGGTGGATGAAATTAAGGAGGAAATGTCAAATCAGAAGGGTCATAGGGGGTGCTGCGTATCTATCGGGGTGGATGGGGAGATTGTCATCTTTGAAAGTGTCAAACTTGTGATTGATTCTGTGTATGTGTTGAGGTGACAAAACCATAGAAGAGTTCAATTGGAGGGGGAAAGTAAGGTACACAGTAGCTTGTTCCTCTCACCTGGGTGGGTCGCCTCTTTCTGGTCACCCTTTAAAATCATCACTTGTGGCATTGGACATCACCCTTGGTACTGGTATTGGTCATTTGATTAACTGACGTTGTTGGGTAGAGGATTTAGCTCTTAAACTTGCATGGTGAAGTATTTTGCCAATAGTAGGATTATACTACTTTTTTTTTCAGACAAACGAAAGCAGAAAAGAATTGAGAATGGTTACAATGGTCGGTTTTAAGGTAAGTCTGGTCTATAACTCATAAAAGGGAGTTGACTAGAAGCGAAAAGGTCAACGCCACTTTACAATGTGCGTGCCCTGGTAACTTGTAGCCACCCTTTTCCCTTGGTTCACAGTTTCGCCACCACTCTCCCCAATCCTATCCCACTTTCTGACTGCCAATTTCCAGGTATTTACTTGCTCTCTCTCTGCCACACTTTAGTTTCTCAAAGCACAAAATACCATTTCTTATTGTTTGATAAAGCTCTCAGCTTCATTTATTATTATTATTATTATTTAGATTAGTGTAGTGCCTATTTCAGCATCAGACAACAAAAAAACTAGATTTCCTTAGATTAGATAAGATTACCCAAAAAAAAAGGGATGAGTTTGGATTTTTTGAAGTCAAAGACAAATGATTAGCGAGTTCCTATCCTCCCCCTGTTGTTATGGAATTTACTTTCTAAGGTGTTTCATGCTTGTGTATATGTAATTTCAAAAAAGAAAAAGGAAAGAGAGACGAAAGGCATTGGATTCTGGCTTTTATAGTTACAGAAGGTACCCCTCCCGAAATGGGGAACAGATACAATTTCTCTTTGAAAATATAACAGTATCCCAAAATTTTATGGTTTAGATTCTAAATTATTGTTGCTTGTGTTGTGTTGTATGAAAAGTATATAGAAATAGTTATATATACACTATTCAACTCTCTCTCTTTTTTTTTAATAATTAAACAAATATTTTCCCAATGTATTTGTTGTAATAATTTGATATTGTTGGGTTCTTTTTGTAGTTTAAGAAGGCTGGACTCTGGAGAGCCCTCCTCAGTCCTCACCCACCCGCCCATGTTATAAAATTCCACGCCTCTTTCCCAAAGCTCTTTCATTCAAAAATCTGTCTCCTTGGAGCCACTCACTGTATCATCTCCTCCCTCAAAATTATCATCTCACATAAAAGAAGATTCGATATCATCCGCCATGAAAGCTTCTTCGAGCTTCTTCTTCCTCCTCTATCTCATACTCCAATGTTACTTCCACTTGTCAACCCCTTCATCACCACCTCCTCTTCTTCTCCCACTCTCTCACTCCCTCTCGAACGCCCATCACTCCTCTCCTCTCCACCTCCTGAAATCCGCCTCCCACCGCTCCTCCGCCCGCTTCCGCCGCCATCACCACCGCCACCGGCAATTCCCTCTTCCTCTCTCCTCCGGCAGCGACTACCTTCTCTCCCTCTCCGTCGGCTCCTCCTCCGTCTCCCTCTACCTCGACACAGGCAGCGACCTCGTCTGGTTCCCCTGCAAGCCCTTCACCTGCATCCTCTGCGAATCCAAGCCCACTTCCCCTTCCCCTCCAGCTTCTCTCTCCTCCTCATCCGCCGCCGTCTCCTGCTCCTCGCCGTCATGCTCCGCCGCCCACTCATCCTCCTCCTCCTCCGACCTCTGCGCCATCTCTCGCTGTCCCCTCGACTCTATCGAGACCGGCGATTGCGCCTCTTTCCCCGACAGTCTGTCTTTCAAATCCTTCTCCGTTCGTAATTTCACCTTCGGCTGCGCTCACACCACCCTCGCCGAGCCCATCGGCGTCGCCGGTTTCGGCCGCGGTCGGCTCTCTGTTCCGGCTCAGCTCGCCACCTACTCTCCCCAGCTCGGTAACAGCTTCTCTTACTGTCTGGTACCTCACTCGTTCGACTCGGAAAGAGTCCGCCGCCCGAGTCCGCTCATCCTCGGCCGCTCCGTCGATGAGAAGGAGAAACGGTTCGGACCCACGGAGGAGAAAACCGAGTTCGTCTATACCCAGATGCTGAACAACCCGAAACACCCCTACTTCTACTCCGTGGCTCTCGAGGGAATCTCTGTCGGAAAAAGGAAAATTCCGACACCGGAGATTCTCAGGAGGGTGGACAGGATCGGCGGAGGAGGGGTGGTCGTGGACTCGGGGACGACGTTCACGATGCTTCCGGCGGGGCTGTACAACGAGGTGGTGTCGGAATTCGACAGCCGGGTGGGAGGGATGAACGAGCGAGCGGAACGGGTGGAATCGGGGACGGGCATGGGACCATGCTACTATTACAACAGCACAGGAAGTGTTCCGGCGATCGTGCTGCACTTCGCCGGGAAGGGATCGAGTGTGGCGCTGCCTAGGAGGAACTACTTCTACGAATTCATGGACGGTGGGGAGAAGAGGAAAGTGGGATGCCTGATGCTGATGAACGGTGGGGATGAATCGGAGCTGAGAGGTGGGCCCGGAGCGACGTTGGGAAACTACCAGCAACAAGGGTTCGAGGTGGTTTATGATCTGAGCAAGAGGAGGGTCGGGTTCGCCAAGAGGGAGTGCAACTCTCTTTGGGAAAGCTTGAAGCATGGCTGATGACGTGGCGTTATTTCTGAGATAAATAAACACAATAATTTCGTGCGTGTACAGAGAGGGAAAGCCAATGCCAATGTGTAAAGTCCAAAGAGTTTGTCAATAAATCCGTGCGATGGAGAAATAAATGAGCATATGATCAAATGTCGATGGGATCAGAGCGACTGTTTTTGTATTTAAAAAGTTTTTTTAAATCTAAGCATCAAATGATTAATACAACTGATTGACTCCACAACAACGTTTTTTTTTCTCGGCCGAAAGGGATAAGAGTGGCAATGCCACGTGGCGAACAAAACGACAAAACAAGCAGCCACGGATGCTGACGTCAGAAAGCATTGTCCTACTTTTTTTGTTACTAGTTTTCGAGTCGACTAGGAGTCGCTAGCTGTCTTCCACACGTGTGCTTCTAGATTTTCCACGTTTTTTTTTCTACTTGCAAAAATTTTAATAATCGCTAATTAATAATTATACACATTCACGCATGCATGCATGTAACATTATCGGATGCAATTCATTAAAGAAAGGTGGCGGTTCAATTATCATTTATGAGGAAATATCTCCAAACACACACGACATTGTCCGTACAATCAGAGTTCCACATCTGTTTTGTCCGATCTGATTAAGTGATAATACGATGCATATCCAATCCAAACCCCAAAAGCGACGTGTCTCTGGGAAATTATATCCCTTCCATATAATATTTACTTTTTGTAGTTAGATAATTATAAAAAAAAATAACCCTCTCATTTCACGCACCCCAAAATATTTTTGGCAGAGTCCAAAAGGCCTAAACTTGTACTCTACTCAAAGTTTGACAACTGGCATCCGAATCTCACAAATATATATTTTTTTCCAACTGATTTCACAAATATTGAGCCCTCGTTTACGTGTAAATAAAGCAGATGCTGGGTCCAATACGTAGTATGGTGCTCCATTGGGCTTAGAATATTATATGGTCCAATGTATAAATTGGGCTAGAAAGAGGCCCACATATGGGACTAACATATCGTGGATATGGGTTATATGGTATTTGCCCATCGGACGCAAAGGGTACAATATTTTATAAGATATGCCTTTGTGGAATTTAAATTGTGTTGAATGTTGACATGTGCCAGTTCCTTCCTTATTTCACCTATAACTATGTATGTATATGTGCATCTTTTAAACACTTCAGCTCTAACGACGTATTGCCATGCATGCAACGCAAGCCTCTGCCCATATAGATACCGTCCAATGTAATTGGAATAATTGCTCCAAAAATCATACAAAAAACAGATAAATGGCTATCAATTGGTATGTATCAAGTTTAATACAATTTATTAATCAACACAGACGCAGGGAAGGATCGCCAATACAAAAGAGACACGCGTCCACATCGTTTGTCGTTTTCACCTGACACCTCCCTCTTCAAATTTCGTCCTTCCCCCCTCAGACGCTCCCCATACCTCTTCTTCCTCACAAACCTCAAAACTCCTAAAATACACATAGAGAGAGAGAGAGAGAGAGAGAGAGAGAGAGAGAGAGAGACGAAAACCTCTACAATCTTACAAAACCTTCAATCGCTTAATCATGCCGGTCGTCCCCATCTGCTCCGTCCCTCAATCTCGCGGTATCATCCGAGCCATAAACCCTAACTCTCTATTTCATATATGTATCTCGCTCATCAGTTCTATATATGACTTCTTCAAATCTCTCATCCATCTGGGTTGCTGTTCTGCCTTTTTCTTTTACTCTTTTGTCCGTTATGGTTTACATCTTGAGCTGATGGGTTTACGCTATGGAAAACTATATATGCCTTCTTCCGGGTTCCTTGTGTTTCTCGTCCCCTTTTCCATCCGTTTTTGGTGTACCTTTTGATGAGCAGAAGGGTATTACGCGACGAACAACCAGTTTCAGATGAGCGGACCAAAAGGGTTCACGGAATTCAAGATAATGGAGAACGACGACCTGTTCGTGAGGATCGACCTGCCAGGCGTCCCGAGAAACGGCGTGAGCGTAAAACTGGACGGATCGAAGAAGACGCTGGCGATCGAGGCGCTGGCCCCCAAGGAGCACAAACACGACTTGTCCCCGAGGAGGTATTCCACTTCCACTGGACTCGTCTGCGACTGCTGCTTTATCTCCAGATTTTGCTTCGACATGCTTGACGGCGTCCTCAGGCTTCTCCTCTCCAAGACCAAGATCAACGCTTCCCGCCCTTCCTGCCTCGGTTCGTTCTCCTCCTACATTTCCTTCTCCCTAGAATCTGATCTGCCTCCAAAAAAAAAACTCACTCATATTTGTAAAGGTTTCTCTTTTATCTTAAAGGCATGATTTTTTTTCACTGACTGACTGATAAGATGTGAATATGTCGTAGTTTTTTAACCACAGAAACGACTATGAAAGTGATGCGACAAAAAGGTTAAAACAATGGGTTTGAACACCATTTGTTGAATCGTGTGTTTTCATGTTTTGGTAACTTATAGTTCTTAACATAAACATGAAACTTGATTAAGTTCCGTCTCTAATTGTTCTTTTTTTTTTCCATTTTGGTTTTATTTTGAGCAGATATTGCGAGTCGCCCACACGGTATCAATATCATTGCCCATGGTTCTCTCGTACTATTGATATATCATAAAGGCCTGCATGACATGAAAACTTGAACATGACGACTCACCTCTCTGTCTTTTTCAATTTCGGCGTGGCAGCTCGCGTTTGCACCGATCCTTTTGGTAATTACAGCAACCCCCCCTCTTTAAGCTTATGTCTTAAGCACACTCAAGAAAATGTTTGTCCTAACTATTTATCCTTGAAACCCACATTAATTTGCACTTAAGTACGGTTAAAAAAAATGTGTGTTTGGTGTTTATTATTGGACAGACCCGAGATTAACGGGTCGGGAATTAGCGCCGCACCCGTGTGTAGTGGAAGGGCCGGAGATGGCTTACGAGTGGAAGCAGCTACAGAACGGGGGAATGTACGTAAGGGTAGACATGCCTGGCGTCCCCAAGGAGAGGTTCAAGGTTTTGGTCGAATGTGGTCGGGTTATGGTCATCGGCCAATCCCCTGCCGTCGGATTCGACTCCCATGGCCGATCCTACGGCTCTAACGTCGCCATGCTCTCCTCCCTTGCTGACATCCCCAGCCGTCGCATCAAGACCATTGCCAAGAACGGTGTCCTTCGCCTCATCATCCCTCCCGTTTAGATCAATCAATCAATCATCATCTTTGTGTCTGAATGTGCTCCTTGTTATGTTTCTGGACTTTGAAGTCTTCTCTCGCCTTCCAACTGTCTGAACTGAAACATCTTTAGAGTTGTCTAGTTAGTCAGTTATCCATGGTTATCTATCCTACGACTTTTTATCCTTTCTTACTATATCTAGTATATTGAAGTTGAAAATATTTCTCATAAAAAAATATTTGTTTTCGGTTTTCGGAAGTGATGGGCTCAATTTATAAAGGGGAATAGGCCCATTGAAGTTGCGAGGGACTGGGCTGACGAGAAGAATTGGGCTCACGCGATTATGTTTAACAATGAATAAAACTTATTCCACTCGCAGCATAGGCGCGTGGATCTTACTCTCGCGTTTTCCCTGGATTATATAACCCATCGAATTCGAGGGTTTTCGCTGTTTCCGAAAAAAATGGGCTTTTAAGCGCGTGAAGACCGCGTAGTCCCTTTCTTTTTTTTTTTCTTTTTAAATTTGTGGGTTCTCACTCATTTTAGTATCAAAATATATTATTAAACATATAAATTTGTATAATTATTAGATGATGATTAATTAATTCACGTCAATCGAAATTACTAATTCTTCAAATTAAATAGCGTTTTTGTATCATTATAGATATTCTTAATAATTATTCAAAACTAAATCCTAGATATACTGAAATAATAATCTAAAATATAACATGTAAATTAATCTATTTTTTAATATCGTTTGTGGAGTGTATTTTAATTTCTTTCAGGTCCACATTTGGTGATTCCAACGAACCATCTCGATATATTCGATTAACTCTAGATTAGGTTGAACCTGCAATTTTCAAAATATGTATTTCGTTGCCAGAGAGATGAGAAAGATAGGGGTTCTAATGAGAAAAATGTGAAGTCGAGGGCCAATCTCGTAATATTGACAATCGAACGTTCAAAATCTCTTATACGTCGCGACTACAACCTCCGCCCGGCTATGCCGCCCGTGTCTCTCAGTCCCAAAACCCTCGTTTCCTTTCTCTCACTCCGGTCCACCTCACTGACTCGAGCCATGAACTCCGAATCGATTCAGCGAGTCTTCCAACTCAAACACGATCCGCTCAGCTGCACCTCCGAGTGGGTAGTCATCGAAGACAACGATGATGCCGAACTTCCGGATACTTCGACGGACGGCCTCCTCGACACGACATCGTATCTGGACATGCTCAACGATTCTCCCCGCAACAGAGCTTTCCGCTTGGCCATTGAGAAAACCATCACCAGACCGTGCCACGTTCTCGATATCGGGTACTCCTTACGTTTTTCATTTCATGAAATTCAGTGGTTTCTTTCGTTCGAATTCATCGCTTTTCTCTCAATATTGAATCGAAGTTGAAATCGGCTTTGGTTGTTCCTTCTATTAATGTCGTCACGATGGAATTTGGAATTTGCGCACATAGTGCTGGAACTGGGTTGCTGTCAATGATGGCTGCGAGAAGAATGACGACACTGGGAGAAGAATACCCTGTTGATTCGAATTGTATGGTAACAGCATGCGAATCTTATCTTCCAATGGTGAAACTCATGCGGAAGGTTGTGCACATGAACGGTATGGGGAAGGACATTAACATTATCAACAAGCGATCCGATGAACTGAAAGTTGGCACAGACATTGCTTCTCGAGCTGACGTTCTTGTGAGTATAGCTTCTCTTGGATTTAGAATAAGCATTCACAGATTGTGGCCATTTTCAATTGTTGGTTTTTGAGTTTTGAGGCACTGAATTGGGAAAGCCGAAATCCTGTAATTAGGGTATGGTAGAATGGAATGTCACATAGAGAACAAATATATATCTTGATTTGGTTGTCATGGAAAAGATATGAAGTAAAGGATTGTGCTGCTTTTTGATTCTGTTGTGTGATGCCAAGATTTGTTTGCTGATATTCATTAATGTCTCCTGGTAGGTAAGCGAAATATTGGATTCGGAATTACTGGGTGAAGGTCTCATACCAACTCTACAACATGCACATGACATGCTGTTGGTGGATAATCCAAAAACAGTGCCATACCGAGCTTCTACATTTTGCCAGGTCTGTTACTGATTTATCATGATATACTTCACTTGAACGCTAAGTATCAATGCATGTGAAAGTCTGCATATTTTGGTGTTAGTCTCTAATTGTTGCTTTTTTTCTTTCCATTTTCGTTTCAAGCTTGTAGAGAGCACATTCTTATGCAACATGCACGATCTTTGTAATAGCGAGGCTAAGACATCAGATGGTGTTCATCTAGTTCCTACTGGCTTAGAAAATCTATTACGCCCTAAGTCACAACAATACGCCATGCATGTTAATGCGATGGAGAAGGAGGTCAAACTGGTAATGAAATGATATTACAATTTCTCTCTATTAAGCTTTGATATGCATATACTTCAGTTTCTACTCAATCTCATATTTACCCAGTTGTCAGAACCCATCAAAATATTTGAATTTGACTTTTGGAAACGGCCAGCAAGTCATGGCGAGCTTGAGGTGCATGTAAAAGCGATTAGTGAGGGTAGGATTCATGCAATAATTTCGTGGTAATATGTTCTTCTATGCCTTGTGTCTTTTTTTCCCTTATTTACCCTTTCTTCCATTGTAGATGTTTCAACCGCATCTTCGTTTGTTATGCTAATGAACTTCCACGTGAAACACAAGAAGGCACAACTATAAAGATTTTTCTTTTTACTATATCATCTCAATCTCAATCTAAAGGCACTTCATCACCCACGCCACATCACAGGACCTGAAAATATTTTTCGATATGATTTGTGGAATCTTCTACTTGTGATTTAGGTGGGTGCTACAACTTGACAGCGAAGGGACAATCTTTTACTCTACTGCTCCTAGATGGGTAGATTCAAATACTGATACTGGTGGATCAAACCTTTCCATGGAAAGTATGTACTTTGTCTTTGTGTCAGTTCTTATGAAGCCATATGCTTAGAGACGAATCCCTTTTTGTCCCTTGCATCGTTTGCTGTGTCGCTTCAATTTCATCCAAGTTGGAGTTCCCCACAAATGAACTTGGTTTTATTATTGTACAGGCGTTAGGGACTGGTGTGACCACTGGAAACAGTGTGTTTGGTTTACTCCTGGAGCAGGTGTTTCTGTATCCAAAGGGGAAAAGGTTGTTTTGCAAGCTGCTCACACTTGTACTAACATCTTGTACTATCTGAAGAAGACCCAAAGATTATCAAACGAGATTCCTTGTTCTACATCGAATGCTAGAGACCTGCAGCTCACTTTACCACCTGAAAGGATTGCAGTATATGGAGACAATGAATTTAGGCTTTCAATGTTTGAGGCCATGATAAAAGCTGTAGGTTCTATCTCTACCCCTCATGACTAAAATTTTTCTCTTAACCTGGCTAAGCTTGTGATAATTGCTTGAATTTAGGCTTTCAACGTTTGAGACCATGTGCTTTACTAAATTCCTTTTGGTAATTTTGTTGCTTCCATCCTGTGGTTTGGTGCAGCTTTTCATTTATTGTTTACATTTTTCTTCCAGTTGCAAGGAAAGGCTCATCCGCTATGTCTCGCTGTTGATGATAGTCTGTTCTTACCCCTCACTGCCTTGCATATCTGTGGCAATTCACATGTAATATCGTTATCTCCGGGTTTCAAAGAAAATGTCGTAAGATACTTGGAAGCTGTTGCTGATTCAAATGGTTTCTCAAAAGATCGATTTGAATATGTCACAAAGGCAAAACTGACTCAGACACACGAAAACAAGGTAAATTTTATGCAGCCTCGCTCATAATCATTTTTAAGCTTAATAATTGCCTTGGGTAGTTGTTGAGCGCTTCGGTAGCACATGCCCCTTCATTTTTATCCTTACGCTGCTTTGCTGGAATTCCAAAATGTTCTGATGTGTTTGTTGATATCTGGTAGCATATGCCTCTTCCAGGTTGACCTCCTGGTTGGAGAGCCCTATTACTCCGCACTTGAAGGTGTGCTTCCATGGCAGAATCTCAGATTCTGGTATATGCTACTCTTGTATAGATGATTTCCTCAATATGCTGTGTATGTTTATTGGCGGCAATCCTTTAAATATTGATATATAGCTCAATTCCTTTTCCTGTATGGTTTCAGGAAAGACAGAACTAGGCTAGATTATCTTCTGTCTAAAGACGCTGTGATAGTGCCAAACAAAGGAGTTTTGAGAGCCTGTGCCATGTTTCTTCCTGTAAGTATAGTGTTTTATTTTACAAGTTCTGACTGGAGTCTGAGCCTGTGTTCATGAATTGATCTATCATGCAGCATCTTTGGAAGAGCCGATGCTGCCTTAACGATGTAGAAGGCTTTGACCATGCTGTTGTGAACAAAACCTTAGGAGCATGTGGTGACCTACCTTATGGCAAAGAGGGGCCTTATTTACCCTTCTTCATCTGGCAATGTGGAGACACTAAGGTAAGCAAAAAGTTCAATTTGATATATATACAGAGCAGCATTCCGATGAGAAACTCTAATCATTTGCCAAAACTGTGGATGGAACCAGTTTGTTGGGTAAAGGAAACTTGCAAATTACAAATGCATGAGACATTTGCTAGTCCTATGACTTGGTTGACATGGAATCCTATCTGCTTCTTGCTCGCAAATATAAAAGTCATTCCTTTGTGTTGGACAATTTCCAGCAACTTAGCGAGGAGTTCACAATCATGGAACTCGATTTCTCGAAGCCCATCACAAGTACATGCACCGGGAAGGTCCAGGTATGTTAGCTAGGGGAACCACGATGTATATCATCACCGTGAGCTTTCAATGAATAATAATGCTCTCTGGTTCCTTTCCCGCAGATCGACTTCACCAAATCTGGTGTGTGCCATGGATTTGCGTTGTGGATGGATTGGGTTATGGATGAAGAAAATTCAGTCGTGGTGTCAACAGGACCAGGTATGACTCGTTGAGAAGTGATCTTAATTTTGATGATAGTGTTTAGTAAACAAGTATCCTGCATCATCAAAGGCTCGGATGAAATACCCATTGCCCAATGATTGGTGTCAAGCGGCAATTTTTGGGAGTTAGCCCATGTTTCAATCGATGCAATACTGAATGTTAGAGAGCATAAAACTGTTTTAAGACTTTTTAACGTCCTGAATTCAGATAAAAGGTATTGGAAGCAAGGAGTGAAACTTCTGGCAGAGCCTGTCACGGTTACTGCGGGATGCTCTTTCGCTGTAATTGAAGCGTCGATGGATCCAACATCGAGCGGTGAGCTCATTTTCAGACACTCCTTCTCGTGATATCTCTTTCTTTGTTCTTATGATGTTTCAATCCATTTGTTGTGCTTTGTTTTTTATTTGGACAAAACCTGGCCATTTCTCCGCCCTGTCGCCTGCTCCGATGCCGAGAATCGGCTGTCTGTTCGAGAGCTTGTTCCAGGTTCGGTTTACTCTTTTGAGGCCTGTGTTTATTTATTACAATTTTGATTGTCACCATATTTTTTTTTAGTAGAAACTTTGTTCTTTTTAGAATGCTTGCATGTTCTATAAGTTCTTGTCATTGCTAAATTCGATTTATTAGAAACATATGTCCAATGTTTATATAACTAATACCGATATTGTAATTTTACATATGAACTCACTCGACATGCCCAGTGTTTATATATATATATATGCCCCGTGTTTGTATTTGTTTATATATACATTTACATATCATACATATACATACGTACATTTTTATATACATGTGTATATATATATGTGTATATATACATGTATATATATGTGATGCGTATGTATGTACGTATGTACGTATATACGTATATATATGTGTATGCATCCATATATATGTATTATGTATGTATATTCGTATTTGTATGTGTATTTTTATTTTTTTATATTATCTTATTTTTTAATATTATTTTTCTTATTTGTTCATGTGTCATGGACTCATGGCAAATTTAACGGTGATAGATACGGTTTATGCCGAATTTGAAATATGTCAAAAATTGAATACATTAATTTGTTTTATATCATTATAATTCATATATTTTTTAAATAAGTAAATATTTAATTTGAAAATTGGAATAAAATTATTAATCTAATGGTTATCATGTTTTTTTTCGTGTGATTGTGCTTTAAATTTGTTCAAACAATATTTATACGGAGTTTTAAATTAATTATGAGAAGTTCCGTTTTATTCTCACGCGCTCCGTTTCTGCATTTGTCGAAAATTGGGCAAAACCGCTGGACTGTAGTCCGGGGATTTGTGGGCGGTGTCGTTCACGCGCCATATGTGCGCGTGTGAAAATTTATGGGTTTGATTTTTTCTAAACGGATCATGGGCTGGAAGTCTCTGTTCGGACTCCTTAATAAAGGCCTTATACGAGTTTAAGATTAAAAGCCCACAAGGCCCATAGTTGGGCCCTTTTGTTTGCATATTCTTTTCTTTGTTTTTTTGTTATTATAATTAATTATCTCCTGTATCCAGTTAATTATTTCGAAAACATTCCGAATGTCTCTTTTTAATTATAAATATTCCGGATGCCTCCGTCAACGCATTCACATGAGACACCAACAAAAAAAAAATTAACAGATCAAATAGCAGATTTTAGTTCACAAAAAGAATGCAAAACACTTATAGAATCTAGTAATTATCATTATTAGCTAAATAACGATGTATTATTTTAGAAAATTACAAGAATAATATAATATCTAAAATTCATAATTATTACTCACCCCGTTTTACAATATTTGTAATTATAAGTTATTTCTCATTTAAAAAAAAAAAGAGAAAAAGTCATATAAACCCTTATTTAATATTTTTATTGATAATAAAAATAATGTTATTATTAAAAAAATTAGAATTTGATAGGGATAAAATTAAAAATTATGGTAAAAAAAATATTTTGAAAATATAAAATGACAAATATTTTGAAACATGTAAAATAACTTAAAACAACAAATACTTTAAAACGAAGGGAGTAGTAGAATATATTGGACTTCGGCCCGACCAACTCTTCTTTTCTAAGAAATTAATCATAATTGATAGTATAATGATAGTAAACATTGTAAAATGGAAGGCACATAAAGTTTATTTATAAACTTATCCTACTAATATTGCAAATTTTCCGTTAAATTTAGAGGAAAACGATAATTTCTGGATGGGAAGAGAAACGTAAAAACCGCTTTTAGTTAATTATGAGAAGTTCTGTTTTGTCTCACGCGCTCCATCTCCTGATTTCACGAAAAATGGGCGAAACCACTGGACTATATAGTCCGGGGATTTCTGGGCGGTGTCGTTCACGCGCCATATGTGCGAGTGTGAAAATGTTATAGGTTTTTTATTTTTTCTTGAACGGATCATGGGCTGGAAAGTTTGTTCGGCCCAATTAATAAAAGCGTTAATCGGGTTTAAGATTAAAAGCCCACAAGGCCCATAGTTGGGCCTTTTGTTGGTACATTCTTTTCTTTTTTATTATTATTATATTTAATTATCTCCTGTATCCAGATAATTATTTCGAAAACATTCAGGATAACCGACACATTCAAAATTTCACAAGAGTCACCAACAATAAGATTGACTTTAATTTACAAAAAAGAAGCAAAACAGCTTTAGAATCCTGTGGTTATGAAAATTAGCTGAATAACAAAGTAATATTTTAGAAAATTAATCCCTTTGGGTTGTGTGTGTGTGTAAAAGTTATTTTACTCGACACCCCCACTAATTAAACCATTGGAGTGTTTACTTTGTGCCTTGCAAAATTCAAAATTACAACATTTCTCCCGAGAAAATTGCTCGGATGCGAAAAACAAAAAATGATTTATGATGGATGGATATATTATTATTCGTAGGTAATTAAAGCTAAAAAAAGGCCTTACAGGGGCAAACTTGTGCTTTCATATCCTGTGGGTTTCTTGAGGGATTAGAAGCTCTTCATAATCATCCACAACCACCTGTTGTTCCAAATAATAGTAATAATAACAATTAATCTTCCTTTCTCTCTATAATAATACGCTAGGATGCTCACCCAACTCTTCTGACATTCCTCCATGCATGTCGTTTTTATCCCATATGATATATGATGCACTTTTGAAGGCGTGGATATGTCATATGATCATCTCTCATCCCCCAAAGGTTGAAGTTTTAAATGCAGATGCCAAAAGACTATTCATGTTATTATCTATAAATAGCAAAGGTACCTCGAATCTGTGACTGTGGAATGTGTATTCAACGTTTAACTGCTTAGGCTCTCCCGGACAAGGATCGCAAAATCCCATTATCCCAGATTTCTTCACTCCCTCGTGAAGCTGCGCACACAGACCATTTGTTCTAACCAGATGCATTTTCACACAACAGATACAAGCCTTCAAAAGTGCATTGAAAGAGAAAAAAGAGAGTACCTTGAGCTGTCCAGAATCGCTCACCAGAAAATTCAGCGGCACCGTTACATCAATAACTCGCGAAGCTAATTCGTCGTTCCCACCTCTTATGTCAATGGCTTTGCCTTCTCCATACAATGCTTTTGTAACAACAAGCCCATCCATCTCCATCTGCCGGGCTCTTTTCCTGTTCGCCACATTTTGTAGCAACTGCTGTGCTTTCTCAGCTGCTGCCCTCGCTTCCCTAACCTAAAGATTAAGATTCCACAATAATATAGAGCGCCCAAATGTATGACGCCACAAGTAAACACACCAACACTCCAAGGATATAGTAGAAACACAAAATCTCACCTGAGCAGAAGTATTTTCCATGTTCTCCAAGGCTTTCTGCTTTTCTCTTTTAAGCAAATAAGGTTTCACAACGAATTTCTGTGCCATACAGTGAAATTAATTTAACAACCAAACACCATAATGACAGAAGGAAGCAGGATGATTTCCGGATCGACCACTCACCTTTAATAAAAAGTAAAAAGACGTCGGAATTGCGAATGCTCCTGTTGCGAATATGGGATTTAAATGTGTGGAAAGCAAGATCTGCCAGTTATAATCACCATCATGGATATGTTAAGGTCCCAAGATGGGGAAAAACATGCAAGTAACGAAAAGTCATCTTCAAATGAAAATGCAGACATGCAAATCCACTGGTAAGGTTAAAAAGATAACAGGATTGATGAATCATGAGAACATTAGTAAAAGAAATTAGGTTGCTTACAGGAACTATCAGTTTCTGACCGCCACGGTGTAACTCAAGTTTCCAAAAAATACCCTGCAGCAAACAAAAATGGCGGAGATAAGCAGATGGCACGGATAAGAGTGCTAAAAGAGTCTCAGAAAATAGTATACCTTAATTCCTATTGTGTACATCATTCTGACAGTACTGAACTCGGAAATTTTCCTTCCTCCACCAACTTCAATCTCAAGGGCATTTCTGGAAGAAAAAAAATCCGAAGTCAGAATAGAACACTGCCATGCAACACATTCCAAGACATTACATAAATATTCTATGATCTTGCAAATATCGTTTCTCGGTTAAAATTTTCCATTCTATAGCATTGCATATCCATCACACGTACGTTCCAATTCTCCCCACCAACCGGCCATGAGATTTTGAAGAAAGATTACGCGTATAACGTGCTGATGCCCCAAGTCCACCTGCCTCAATCTGGAAAAGCATGCACAGCTTAATATGTAAGATAGATGGCGTAGCTGCAACAAGGAAAACTCAATTTCGAAGAAGGCTGTTCAAATGAGCCCATCGCATGGTAGATATACCTTCAATTCACCAACCGCAGCTGCATTCTCGTCTTTCTTTTTCCATCCAACTGTAATAGCCGGTTCTTCACCCAATGCTAGCTCAATCTGGACAGGAGAACGTTCCGAAAATCGATGTAAGTGGGTTTTCTTCCTTTGCTGAGATTAAACCAAGACCAAAACCAAAACAAAAAGAACATACGTTTCCGTTTGATGTTTCGGAAAGCTGGCGAGTCCACGTGTTGGTAAGATTTATGGAACCATCATGGAAAGACTTTGAAATACCAATACTGGCAGTTGAATGTATGGATAACTGACTGCCCCAACAGGAAACCCGAGACGAGTCATTAAAGCACATACACACACACATCGATCAATCAATTAAATTTAAAATTTCATGAGCCTACCGTGTTGTATGTACCCCAATAAGTGATCGCAAGCCTGCTGAAGCGATGAATTCTATGGACGAAACTGGAGATATTTGATGTCTCAGCATTACTGACGCAACTCCACCCCCAGATTTCTCATTGGCTGCCAGATTTCCACCAATAGCAAAGGCATCATTCTTTGATAACTGTGACTGAACTTGACTAGCCATAACCATTCTGAAAATTGCAGACCCAAGTATAAAGGCAAATGAGTAAAACATAAATAAACAAAGACGAAACTCCTATCATTTCTCAAGAACCTCATTTCACAAATTTTCTAGCCTGTCTGCGTCTCTAAAGTGTAATAACCAAAAGTTTTCTAAGAACCATACCGGCACAAGGTAATGACACCTCACAACTACGTAAAGAGGAAACAAAAACAGGAACAATTTTCCTCTAGAACCATTGAGACAGATAAATGTTGGGAAGTACCCTCTCATGATGCCATCACCATCCCGAAAATGTGGTAGAGACAAATTGAAGAGTATTGTGCCAGTTGGTAGAAAATGTGCCATCCTTTTAGCTTCTTCGTTCCTCCTTTTAATCCTTTCAAGTTCTTCTTTGACCTCATCGAGCTTGCTGAGCTTTGGGCCAAGCTCCAATCCTGAATTCAACCCTTCCATGCCATATATGTCATATATCATCCTCTTAGTTTCGTCAGACAATATCTCATATGCTTCACAAATACGCTGAAAGTTCTCCGTAGCAATCTCCTTCATCTGATGTGAAACATGAAATTAACCAGAAAAATGGACCATTCAACTATGGTTTTCCTGACCAAATACTGATCAACACGGAAAGCTTCTGGACAAAAGTTCCATAAAAATGCATCTGATTCTCCATAAAACTAAATCTAAACCAATACCAGAAGACAATTAGCTTCAGAAAACATAATGGCAAAGAAGACTGCGGCGAATCGGAAACAAATTTCACATCATTTCAGAATTTTTACGAAGAACGGATAAGTTCGACCAAAACGATAAACTGTGAAATTCGAGCGAACATACACAACCTGAGGAGACTGGTATTTGTCGGGGTGATACACTTGAGCCCATTGACGATACGATTTTCTGATTTCTTCGTCCGAAGCCTCCGGCGACAAGTTGAGAAGCGCATAGAGTTCTCTGTTCGGCGGCCCCGCTTCCGCTCCGTCGCCCATCATTTCATGAAATCGGATCGGTCGCTAAGATTCCGGGAGAAACGATTAGGGTTTAGGAAGGGGGAGGAGAGAGAATTAGAATCGGTAGGGTTTTGACGCCTTCAACTACAATAGTCGGCGTCGGCGAACACTTGATTGAACGCAAGTCCACCTTTTCTTCGTTTTGACCCCATTGTTCTTATAATATTACATTTATGGGACCTTGGTTTCAATTAATTTCCGTTTTACCCCTCAATTTCCATCTCTGTCATTTACGTGGCAGTAAGATGGGTCTAATATGGAATATGGCCTGCTGGGCTCATTGGGCCATACCTATGGGCTGATGATTTCCTTGCCGTATAAAAGCAATTATTATACACTTCACGTACAAAATATACCCATAGCATTTGCAAATTGGGCCGACCAAACATTTGCACTACATTATAATATACAAAGTGTTTTTTTTATAACATCGGAAACCCTGTCCTACAATCCTTCGGACCGGACTTTCGTCGTGGATCTGAGAAAACCCTAAGTCCACACACATGAGTCTGCAATATATACATGGGAGATAAATCAGCCCAGAGATTGACACACGAGTAGGTCAGAAAAAATGAGGCGATGAAGGATCGAACTCCCATGAACGCCACCCATACTTCCAACTGACCTGGGTTTCCCCATTATAATATACAAGTTGCACAATTTGATAGATAAAAAAACGTAAAAATGGTTATTATATATATATTTATTGTGACAGAGGGCACATGATTTATATAAAAAAATAAGGATTATATATATTCAGCACGAGTCAACCGTGGAAGATACGGTGTCGTTTTGGGGAAGTCGTGGTTGATGGCTGGGCTTGGAAAAGACAGCCGGAGTCCACTGTCATCCGTGTTGTGTATGGTATGGTTGGAGACTCTTTCTTTCATCCCAAAAGATCCCTTCCTCTTCTGCCTTTTTTTTTTATTCATAGGCGTTTTCCATTTTCATAAATTCGAATTCCTTTTCTACTTACACATAATAATAACAGTCAGATTCCCTTTCTACTTATATATATATATATATAAAATCAATTTATATATTAAAATAATATATAATCAACTTATCATATTTGTAGATAAATTAAGAAATAAACAAGTAAACGGGGAAAGAAGAAAGAGGCAATAAGAGATCACATGGTCCTCCTCCATTGACTAGTTCCTGATTTTGAGCTTACAACACCGTTACTTGTTCTTTTTTTGTTGGGGTAATAATTAATGAGATTGAGCCCTCCCTCATGCGTTTTGCTTATGATAATAAAGCCACTTCCCCATAAATAAAGATATTAAAATAAAATAGAATAAAAGAAATATGAATCATTCCCATAATAAAAGAAATAGAAATTAATTCACCCATTTCACGAAACATTATATTAATCTGAAATTAATATATTGGCTTTTATGTTTCAATCTGCAAAGGATCAGCCTTTATTGCATGCATGGATTACATAAAAAAAAATATGATCTATAATTTCATAATATAGGCGTTGCCGTAAAAATAAAATAAAATAAATAAATAAATAAAAGCAAGCGAGAGATTAATTTAAAAGCAAGCACCTAACAAAAGCTATGTAATTAGGCGCTCAGCAATTTGCCCTTTAAGCCTTCCCAGAACCTTCTCTCTCTCTCTCTCTCTCTCTCTCTCTCATGGCACTATATATGCGCGAGTGTATATATGTACATGTAAAGCTTATATAAGTGTATACAGAGATTAAATCATATACATGGATCTTATGAGAGCAGTGCTGTGGTGGTGGGCTCTTCTGATGTGCATTACGACGACGGCGTTTGGGGAAACGCAAACGCAGTGGGCGGCGGTGAGGGAGCGCGGTCTCAGGACGCGGCGGCCGGAGCATCGGAACGCGTACGCGACGATGATGTACATGGGAACGCCGAGGGACTACGAGTTCTACGTGGCGACACGTGTCCTCATCAGATCCCTCCGATCCCTCCACGTGGACGCTGATCTCGTCGTCATCGCCTCCCTCGACGTCCCTCTCCGCTGGGTTCGTTCCATGTAAGCCACTCCCTCTTCTCCTTCCCTTTTTTTTTTCATCGCCGACGGCGGAAACGCTGCCGTTTCGGGAAGTTTTCCCGACAGCCACACACATGCTGGGGTCTGTTTAATGCATTATCTCGATCATCTCACAATTACACAGGCCAATAATATAATTAGTAATTTCATCTCGAGTCGAAACTCGTGAATTTTGATTTTTTTTTAAATAGTTTACATTTTGAATCATTACGATGCATGCAATAACTTTTTTTTTTTCGAATGTGAAATTGATATTTTTTTTCCGAATGTGAAATTGATATTTTGTTAATGCAAAGCAAAAGATTTGGAGAAAATCATAATATTTTTTTCCCACGAATACGAGGGTGTGTATAGTTGGCAGAAAACATGGAAACTTAATAAAATGAAACATAAATAAGATTCCCAATTTCCATGCAATTAATTTGCATTGACCCAACAATTATATACAGTGGTTACATGTAATGTGTATATATAAATTTTTTGTTTGACGCGGTAATGATGATTTGACAGGGAAGAGGAAGACGGGGCGAAGGTGGTGAGAGTGGAGAACGTGGAGAACCCGTACAAGGGGCAGAGAAACTTCAACAGGAGATTCAAGCTGACACTGAACAAGCTGTACGCGTGGGCTCTGTCTGATTACGACCGAGTCGTGATGCTCGACGCCGACAACCTCTTCCTCCAGAACACGGACGAGCTCTTTCAGTGCGGCCAGTTCTGTGCGGTGTTCATAAACCCGTGCATATTCCACACCGGTCTCTTCGTCTTGGAGCCTTCCTTGGATGTCTTCAGGGACATGATTCATGAGCTCGAGCTCGGAAGGCTAAACCCAGATGGCGCCGACCAAGGCTTTCTCGTCAGTTACTTCTCCGATCTGCTCAATCAGCCTTTGTTTCATCCTCCCAGCAATTCTTCTGATCTTCTCAATGGCCATTTCAGACTTCCATTGGGCTACCAGATGGATGCTTCTTACTACTGTGAGTATATATATATACATACATACATACATACATATTACTACTATTCTTTAACATTTATACTATAATGCCCCTTTGTTGATTCCTTTTTCTTCCTTCGTTTCAGATCTTAGATTGAGGTGGAACATACCATGTGGGCCGAACAGTGTGATAACGTTTCCTGGAGCTGTTTGGTTGAAGCCATGGTACTGGTGGTCGTGGCCTGTTCTTCCCCTAGGCCTGTCTTGGCACCATCAACGCTACTGGACTCTCGGGTACGTAAAGCTCCATCCTTTTATCTCCCGAAAATCCACCAAAGATGGAAACTTTAGCAGAAGGAAGATTCAATCTGTACTGACTCCATTGTTTTACTCTCGACTCAAGCTATGCAGCAGAGATGCCACTCGTCATAATCCAAGCAGCGTTCTACGTGGGGATAATCGTGGTCACACGCCTCGCCCGACCCACCTTCTCCAAGCTCTGCCATAGACGTTCAGACCGTAACCTCTTCGCCCTCCAAATCTCGTTCAAGATGGTCGCCGTCATTTCCATCCTAGCCGCGTACGTTTTGCCATTCCTCACCATCCCTCAGACGGTCCACCCTCTCATGGGCTGGTCACTGTACCTGATCGGATCACTGGCTCTGTCTTCCATAGCGATAAACGCGCTCTTGCTGCCGGTGGTGGCTGTCCTAACGCCATGGCTAGGGATAATAGGAGCGCTGGTGATGATGGGGTTGCCGTGGTATCCGGACGGGGTGGTGAGGGCGTTAGCGGTTTTCGGGTACGCCTTCTGCTGTGCTCCGTTTGTTTGGGTGTCGATGGTGAAGGTGACGTCGCATCTTCAGGTGATGATTGAGAAAGAGGCTTGGTTGGGGGAGCCTTCTCTTGTCAACTCCGGCTTCACCAAATCGTTTTAGGAGGAGAGATTGCGTTGGTGGATTTCCTCTGTAATCTGTATGTATATAAGTTTTGTAACTGATTATTGGTTCATTCACATTATTTATGGCCAAAGTACAGACAAGGAGATGAGCATGTAACGCCAAAGTATTGAGACAACGCGTAACTGAAATATAATTGATCACCATCACAATAATATTATAGTCAAAATACATGGACAAGCCCCTGTATCCTAAATTCTCACATAACTATAATCCTATTTTCCAATCTTCCTCGATGACTCCGATAGTAATGTATATATATACACACACACACACACACACAATCCTCCTCTTTGTGCTCTTATCTCAGCCTCGGACCATGCTCTTTGTTTGTAACTATTGGGCTTTGAAAATAATGAATAAATGTGAACTGCACAAAGGGTATACTTGTTTTCTTTGTTGCCTAACCCTATTCCCTATTTCCTCTTCAACTGTGGAACTGACAATAAGATTTTAAAAACTAATTTTGAGAATCACGCGGAGTTGCAGAGCTCACCGAGGTGGTTTCTGGACAAATCTGGTTTCATTTGCCGGGAGAATCTCTGTAGAGAGCTTTCGCCTTTGCGTAGGAAAGAAGGGTCGGTTGCTGAATATTTACACCTCCTTCCGAGAATTGTTACGCATTTCAGAGCTCAACCTCCTGAAGTTCGTCTCCGAGGGCATTGTTGGTAAGGGGACCTTGCATGTAGGCAGAGTGAGGAAGCCCGAGAACTTCGCCAAGAGGTCTTGGGCCTGACCCAGCCATAACATCAAAGCTTCCGCCCCAGGAAACGGTTTTTCTCGAATGACCCGACAGTTGACTGCCTCTAATGTTGTCCATGCTCGGGAATTGCTTCATAGCCGTGGTCTGGAAGGAGTTGTAACTGTCTGGAGTTTTTTCGTCGAGGCTGGATGGGGCATTCTGTTCCTCGGTACAAATGGGTGTCGTTGGGATGAAGAAATTTGTGTTTGAGGCCAGAGGAGGTTTGACGGCTGGTGACCTGAAGGTGGTGCTCGCTTCTGCCTTTGGCCGACCTTGGTTGAAAGTGTCCACGTACCTGTTTCAAAGACAGACTATCTTCTTGTAAGCCGCCTAAGTTTTGGAGTTCCACAGTTCAAGTATTTTTTTTTTGAAAGATTTATCATATATAGATTTCAATAACTACATAAGCCTATCATCCAACCCTTTAGAATCACGCGTGAAAACTAGTGGAGGACATGATTTTTATGATGGATCCCATGGATTAGTTAGGGCAAAATTTTCGGAAACCAAGTTTATAGGAAGAAAAGCTCCATGATACATAAAATAGACCATTTTATATGGAGAAATGCCATGAATTACCTCGCCCGCAGGCCCGTTCTTCCACGGGCTGAAAAGTGGTTTGAGCTGCTCGGGATGGGGGGCATT